TCTTTAAGTTGCTTGAAGACGTTTCACCTCTCATCCGAGAAGCTTCTTCAGTTCTAAGGTCAAATGGTGGAGAGTCCCAGATATAAACCTAGTGGGAGTATCCCCCCACATATTATAGAAATACACACTTGATATATACTAGGTATATATTTCTGGATTTTTGAATGTTGTGTGTCCCTAGAGATTACATCAAATCTAAGTGATTGCTGTGCGCTGCACCAGCTACAATGTGATTTTGAGACATTTGACCCTTATAATTCCCTTCAGTTTAAAGAACATTAACAACAGGTTTGTTTTGTACCTCTTACGTACCGAAAAACGTAATCATGTGCATCGATCTCTGCACCCACTTTTGAGCCGTTCAAAATTCCTGCAGTACCCACCACAGCACAGTGAATACAGCCATCGGCACCTGGTTTTGGGAGGAGTAGTGGCTCTTTTGGCTTTGGAATCAGCTTCACTGAAGCCATCACTTCTGCAAACGAAAAGAAAGACATGAGTACAGACATACATTTAACATCATGCATAATTCATAGCACTCTCTTCTGTAATAAGTATAATGGTTTTATATTATTCGCATATGTATTCCCGCATTCTTCGACACAATAACTCAGGGTAAAAATAATGAAAAATCTAATATTTGCATTGCCTTGTAATCTAATATATATATCGCATTACCCAGTATATATATACTTTTGGCCATCTTTTTTTAAACATGTTCAATATGAGATTTTCATGTTAACTTGTCATCCACTATTACACCCAGAAAATGGAATTCTGTAACTCTTTCGATCAATACTCCATCTATAGATGATACTACCTCTTTCTCCTTTACATGATTTCCAAATATCATAAACTTTGTCTTTGCCAAATTCAATGATAACTTATTTACATCAAACCATTTTTTTAGTTTTTACTTTTCAATAACCATAATTTTAGCCAATTCTTTCAACTTTTCTCTAGAACAATAAAAAATTGTGTCATCTGCAAATGTCGTTTATATATAAAAAAGTTTTGTTCCTAAAACAGAACCTTGAAGGACCCCACATTCTATTTTCATTCTTTCAGATGAGTTACCTAAATACTGCACAAATTGAAAAGTATTATCTAAGGAACTTAACCAGTTCAATATAATTCCTCTCACAGCATAAGTACTTAACCTGGAAATCAAGATGGAGTGTTGCAGAAAATAGGTTTAAATGTTAAACAAATTTCTTCCAGTCAGAGAATGTTGCATATAATTAAATTTTTGCTTGATGCATAAAGTTAAAAGATTAAAACTAATAAAACAAGTTTTAAAAAGAGACTTTTCCATTTGATTACATTTTATATGATGGATTATGCAGAAAAAGTAGAATCGGGCTGAAAGATCTATCGCTTTATCACCTATTCAGGTTGTAAATCGTGCTTTTAAAAAGTAACTAAGTAACTAATTACTTTTGAAAATAAGTAATCAGTAAAGTAATGGGATTACTTTTTGGGGGAGTGTAATCTGTAATTAGTTACTGATTACTTTTTTCAAGTAACTTGACCAACACTGGCTTGGAGTGTATCTTAATTTAGTGTTGTATGAATAATTTCATGTGTCTTAATACAAGTTCAAACTTCACTTTCTTTAACTCATCATTTAATTAATCCTTGGTGAGCTTTGACCTGATTCACCAGGAACTTTTTACTACAGAAAACTGTAGATGACACAAAAAACACTGCTTAAAGGTGCCATAATATATATTTTTTAACACCAACAGTGTCTGTCTTTATTATAATATCAGGAGTCAGAAACTGGAAGGAGAAATTAAATAACAAAAAATCTATTACTTAGTTGCTGATCAAGCTCACATATATACTGATATTTAATCTGGCATCAGTTTCACAAACACCTACCATCATATTTGCACTCCATAAACCCAAAAGGATTGTTAAAATGTGAAAGGCGATTCCACTCGCTCATGTTAATGTTGTCCTTGTGCAGAAACAAACGTATGTTGGGAAGAAAAGCCTTCTTGAAGTTCTCATCCTTAGAGTTTCGCAGTGATTGGGCACATGTCTGATAATAACAGAAATATTAAATCATGAAATTAGTTAAAATGATTTTGTGAAAGCTTTATACCCCGAGGAAACAACAAACACAACAGTTACAGAAATTTGATGAATAATTAAGAATTATGTATTTTAATTAAAGGAGTGAAACCATTAAGTGAAAGCAGACTGACTGCATGGCTGAGCACAAGCGTTGCCTGCCCACAGCCATCAAGTTAATTACTACATTTGTCCTGTTTCTGTCATATTGTGTCTTAGCATGCTTACTGTTGGTCTAGGTGGGGCATCCTGGTTATAGACATCATCAAAATCCCACTGAGGAGCCTTTGTGAAATTTCTTCTGTAGAGGAGAGGCATTGGAGTCTCAGCCACAGCCGTTTTTTCTTTCTGTCCCCAGAGGTTAATATTAAACAAAAAGTTTTCCCATCCGAGTTCATGTTTTCCTGAGAAAATTGTCCAACTGCAACAACAGCAACAGGACAAAAGGGAGCAAAAAGTTCAGAATTAGCAAATTAATACATAGATATACATAGATAGATATGAAAAAAAATTACCTTTTTGATAAAGATTCCTGGGATAGAATGAAAACCACAAAACTAACTGTCATTACAAGGAGCAATAAAAATATCCTGGAGATTTGGGATGCCATTGCTGTCAAGTGAAGGCTTGCTGTTCAATTAAACACACATGTATGCACTTACTTCTAAATCTGACACGCTCTCACTGATGGGAATAGGCTGGGCTACACCACAGCTTGCAGACAGATAAGCAAACAAATGTATTCAGACACACAAAGCCACACACACAGATATTAGCAACAATGTGTTTTATTAGACAACCAACTTCAGAAACAAACATAACTCAGAGTTTATATCACTTATATCTGCAATATATTTTAAAAGTAAAATAAACAGCATTCCTTTAATTTCTTTTAGGATTCATTCATATATTAACCTGCTCAGTGTGAGAATTGATCCAGTCTAGTTTGGTTTTCCCTTCGTGTGGATGACAGGTGGTCAGAACAACAAAATCCAAGCAGTAAAACACAATAAATCAGAAAATTGGGAGAGCACTGTCCAGCCACGTTGAATACTGCAAAAAAGTTCATTTGGTGTACTGGAGAAGTTTTTTAGTAGTTTTTAAGAATAAACGGTTGTAGTGAGCATCTATGACACGACAGGGCTCTCAGATGGAGTAGAGTCGGAGCTGCTCCTCTATGTCTCCCTCTGACACCTCCCCAAAAGTCTCCTTGTTCTCTTTCAGTAGCTGAAAGATTGCAGTCAGTTGCTCATGCTGCACCCTGGGAAGAAAAGAACAAAAGAAATACTGAGAGGTGAAAAATGCAAACAATCCTGGACATGTTGGATTACTTTCAAAGACTTTATTTACACTATTTAGTTCAATAATATACTCAAATAACAAAAACACACAACACTCAAAACAGGAATGGTTTTACAGGTGGAGGCCACTGACGATTGACTCTATGAGAGCTGGACGGGGCCGTAGAAAGTTATTAACCCATCAGTAGGACCTGTATCTGCTCTGTTGTGGATGCAGGAACAGTATAAGCGTTCCCAGAACTAAAAAAATCGGCAAGCCACTGGTGTGACTGTCTTTGACCAAGCAATCAGAAACATGCTTCATGAGGGTGGCCTGAGCAATGTGGAGCCCAACTGGCATTTGCCACAGAATACTCGAATTGGCAGGTCCACCACCGCTGCCCTTTGCTTTTCACAAATGAAAGGAGGTTCACACTGTGGGTCTGGAGAAGCTTAAGAAAACAACATGTTGCCTGTAACATCATTCACCATGTGTGACTTGAGGATGGGTCAGTTATGGTCTGGGAAGGCATATCCATGCAGGGAGGCATGGACCTTTGTAGACTAGATAACGTTACCCTGACTAACGTTAGGTATTGGGATGAAGTTCTTGGACACATTGTAGGATCCTACACATATACAGTAGATGTGGGGTTCCAGCTGGTCCACAACAATGCTAGGCCTCATGTTGCAATAGTATTCAAAATTCAATAAGTTTATTGTCATGTGTACCGCAAAACACAAATGGTTATGCAGAGCAATAAAACTCATACATTCATACATTCATACATTGCATGTAGCTTATGGGTGGGTGTAATCAGAATTTAAAGTACAAGTAGTTGGAACACAATCACAGTGATAATATATACAGAGTATGCAATATTAAGGTGTATATGTAAAGATATGTACAAAAACTCCAAATTTACAGGTTAATATAAATGTAAAAAATGACAAATTTACATTTATGGATAATTAAAGTTTGACAGTAGCCTGATGGCCTGTGGATAGAAACTGTTGTTTATTCTGGTTGTCCTTGTTTTCACAGTCCTGTAGCGTCTGCCAGATGGCAGGAGTGTTAACACTGTGTGCTGTGGGTGGGTGCGGTCCTTGACGTGCGTGCCCTTTTCCTGAAATGAGTGTTGTAAATGTCCTGTAGTGGTGGGTGAGGTACTCCACAGATGAGTTGTGCTGTTTTAATAACACACTGGCTTGCCTTTCTGTCCTGAGTGGTGCTGTTCCCATACCGCACTATGATGGAGTTTGTCAGGATACTCTCCACTGTGCACCTGTAAAAGTTGCTGAGAAGTTTGGAGTTTAATTCAAATTTTCTCAGCTTCCTTAGGAAGAAGAGTTGTTGTTGAGCTTTCTTGGTGATCTGCCGTGTGTTATGGGTCCAGGTGATATCCTCACTGATGAAGGTGCAGAGGAATTTGAAGGTCTTCACCCTCTCCACCTGAGTCTTGTTGATGTGTAGTGCAGCGTGCTGGTCTCTCCTCAGCCTTGGGTCAAAAATAATCTCCTAAATCTTCTCAGCATTTAAGGAGAGATTATTTTCCAGGCACCAGGACACCAGCTAGGCCACCTCTTCCCTGTAAGTAGTCTCCTCTTCACCAGTGATCAGCCTGACGATGGTTGTGTCATCAGCAAACTTAATGGAAGAGGTCTTGCTCTTGGAGTGGACGTAGTCATAGGTGAAGAGGGTGTACAGGAGTGGACTGACTGAGGTCTGCCTTTGAGGAAGTCCAGGACCCAGCAACAGAGGGGGGGGTAGTGTTAGTCCAAGAGTAGGCAGCTTCCCCACCAGTCTGTTTGGGATGATGGTGTTGAATGCTGAACTGTAGTCTATAAACTGCATTAGAACACAGGTATCCTTATTTTCGAGGTGTGACAGGACTGTGTGGATGGCAACATTAACAGCAGGGGTCCCCAACTCCAGGCCTCGAGGGCCGGTGTCCTGCAGGTTTTAGATCTCACCCTGGGTCTCTTGCCTCTGGAGAACGGCAAGACATGTTGAGGAGGTAATTTAGCAATTTGAATCAGCTGTGTTGGATCACGGACACATCTAAAAACTGCAGCACACCGGCCCTCGAGGCCTGGAATTGGGGACCCCTGATTAACAGATTACAATTGAAGTGAGTGTGATGGGGCAATAGTCATTCAAACAGGTTTTTTTTTTTTTTTTTCCTTGGGGAGGAACACTATGGTGGGCACAGCTGAAGCATGTGGGCACAGCTGACTGGGTGAGGGACAAATTGATAGTCTGTAAACACCACAGCTCTGAAGAGCAGACCCTCAAAGCACAGCCGGGGACATTGTCAGGGCTGGCTGCTTTTCAGGGGTTAGTCCTCCTCAGAACCTTGTATAAAACTCAGTCGATGTCAGTGAGTGAAGAGCTCTGTGCTGCCTCCACTGGTAGAATCCCTCTGTGATAGTTGATGTTGAGGGTGTCGAAGCGAGCGTAGAACTCAGAGCGCGTTGCAAACAGATCTGCCACAAGGGGCGCCATGTAGTATGGAAGGAATTCATGGAAATGAAGTAATTAGCCCCTTTTCCATTACTACCTACTCGGTTCAACTAGCCATGGTTTTCAGGAATTTTCATTACATCACAGCACATGGCACTAGGTAATAATAATAATAATGGATTGGATTTATATAGCGCTTTTCAAGGCACCCAAAGCGCTTTACAATGCCACTATTCATTCACTCTCACATTCACACACTGGTGGAGACAGCTACGGTTGTAGCCACAGCTGCCCTGGGGCAGACTGACAGAAGCGAGGCTGCCATATCGCACCATCAGCCCCTCTGGCCAACACCAGTACTAAAATAGTACCTGCTCAGCAGGGGTTGCAAGCGATCTGATCAAGTAGTAAAATGTGAAGTCATCAGACTGCATGCCGCTGATTGACTGGTCAGTGGTGTCACTTGATGAGTCATGAGAGCGAAAATCAGAATTGGCATTTTTGAAACCCGGGAATGAGGCACCATATTTTTCAGACTATAAGGCGCATTTAAAATCCTTTTTATTTTCTCAAAAATTGACAGTACGCCTTATAATCCGGTGCAGCAGATATATCATTGCCTCAACGTCCACCTTTGTTATAGCGACCACCATGCACATTATGTGGTACTCAATTGTAATGGAAAACCAACTGATCCGAGTCGAGTCGTGGCAAGTTGTGGTGAGCTGATCTGAAAAAAATCAATCTACAATCAACATGTTTTAAAAAGTGCTTTTTCTTTCTTTTCTTCTTTTCAGGTGTTGCATTTCTTTGAGTGTGAGTAGTGAGCAAGTGTTTGCAGACAAGTCGGCATCTTTCATGCAAACTATGAGTGCCCAAAGCAATCTGCTTGCTGAACCACAAAATTTTCTATGACCAATTTCATAAACCAAGAGCAAGCAACCTCTAGACACCACTTCAGAATCAGTCAGGGCACTTTTCCTATAGCGACCATTTGTTACCAGACGGTTGTTGATCGGTCTGTGGGACTGGGTCCTTAAATATTTACCAGATGGAAGGACTAAAAAGTCATTAAAGCCAAATTATCAATAGTTTGCAGGGTTGTTTAATCTTATTTATGATTCTGCAGAAAGTTTGTAGCAATTCTAATATAGTGAAGAGCGCAAAAGCTTTGTAGGGTGTTCTCAACTGCAGTTTTTAAGTCAGTTTAATTTTTT